CACACACACACACACACACACACTCAAACACTCACTCACATACATACACACACACACACTCAAACACTCACTCAAACACTCACACACTCACGGACACACACTCACACACACACACACACTCAAACACTCACTCACACACACACAGCCAATTCTGAGAGAAATAAAATACATGGATATTATTTAAACCCCAAAAAAAAAACAATTCACAAGCGCGTTGTTAGATCGGGTCTCCACACCAGATAATAATTAGGATCCAGCCCCGGGCGCCAGATCCCGTCAGAAAATATCAGTTTGTCCAGTACCAGAACAACTGGTCAGCAGAGCTGTTGATACCCAAAACGAGTGTTCAACAGTCTTCTGTCAGTCAAGAAGCTGACCGAGAAAAGCCAGAGAAGAGCAGAAGCAGGAGACGAAGTCATGATGGTAAAAACAGTTTATTGAACAATCTTAGTGGCGTATGTCTCGATGTTAAACTTCGTCTGACCAGCACAAATTCAGCATGTGCTGTTATACCAAAACTGCTTCACAGCCACATCCCATAAACCTTGGGTTTCCATAAACATTCCCTCTTATCTAGCTCTTATTCATACAGACGAAACGGTTCATGAAACCCCACACGCATGAGACTGAACAGCAATGAAAATGCATAAGCTAGGGAAAATTAATAAGAAATATAAAATATGAAATATAGAAACATAATAAATGAATGAATGAATAAACAATAAAAATACTTAAATTATATAATGATAAAAATAATCAAATAATAAATCATATGAATGACTAATGATTATGTGAATAAATGATTATAAATGAGTTAAAAACATGAAAACAAAAACACAACACACACATGGATCTAAGCATCCTTCAGCGTATTGAACCGTGGATGTCGTACGGAGCGGTTCGATGTTATATTGAGAACTGTGCCGTCTCTAATAATACCCCAGCGTGTGTGTTTCTCAGACTACGAGCTGCTGGTGGAGAGCGACACGGTTCCCAGCAGGCATCGGGCGGTGGGTCTCGCCGGAGCGTTCGAGAGCCAGGAACCTACTCAGTTTGAGGCCAGACACCTGATCTTCCTCCAGCTGCTGGGGAAGGTGAGCCACCACCATCATCATCATCATCATCAGCGTTAGTGTTTCAGACGTCACTCCGTCAGTGTGTGTCTGCAGGGGAACTTCGGCAGCGTGGAGAAGTGCCGCTACGATCTGAATCACAATTTGTTTAGCATCTCAAACGATTTGAATCGTCACATATTTGAATCGATTTTCAACCGGCTCGCAGTTAATCATTACATCCCTAGTTTTAATAATATTTTTATTAGTAGTACTAGTACTATCATTACAATAAGTAATATATTTCTGTCAAGTTAAACCTTTAAATTTTTATTTTGACGGGTTGCTGTGAATGCCTTTAAGTTTCTGTGTGCATATGATATGATGATAGTTTTTGTCAAAAGAAATGGTAAAATGCTGATGAAGTGACTCTCAGAGCAGTTCTAGAGATTATGTACTCGTATATATTGAGGCAGACGTGTTTTAGTATGCGTGTAGTAAACGAAACCGCGCGTCTGTGCCATTCATTCACACGGAGACACGCAGAACATGCAGAAATCATATTCAAATGGTATTTTTGCAGCTTAATATTCACAGACACTTTCTATATCGCATTTTGGTTTAAGTTTGCCGACCTACGTTTGATTTATCCATTCCGATTGTGGCAAATTCCGTGATATTCCGCGTTATACAGTAAATTCCATTTTTATGACTAAATTCCTACGGTCTGCACTAGAGCATGCTGGTCCTGAGTCACTCTCTGTCTGTCTTCAGGTCGTAGGAACCTGCGGCTGGTCATGGAGTTTTTGCCGTTTGGTAGTTTGAGAGATTATCTTTCTAAAAACAAGGAGCGTTTCGACCACACGAAGCTTCTGCTGTACGCCTCTCAGATCTGTAAGGTGCTGGAACTCCTGTCTCACACACATGAAGACTGATGAAGAAGAGGAGCTGAGCGTGACGTGTTTCTGTCTGTGTTTGTTTAGGGCATGGACTACCTGGCGTCCAAGCGCTACGTCCATCGAGATCTGGCCACCAGGAACATTCTGGTGGAGAGTGAGTTTCGTGTGAAGATCGGAGACTTCGGCCTGACTAAAGTTCTTCCTCAGGATAAGGAGTATTACACCGTCCGCGAGCCGGGCGAGAGCCCCATCTTCTGGTGAGGAGATCCGCAAACGTTTGGCTGAAGCTGTGTGACGAGTGACCAAGAACGGTGCCATATTTCACCCCAAAATCAGGAGACTAACAACAAGCAATGATTTTCTGCCTAATGAAAATTAAGCCTTTTTTACTAGGGCTGGGACAATAAATCGATGCATCGCGAATCGAGTAATTATTCTGCTTTGATTCTGAGCTTAGTTTTGAACAGCAGATGGCGCTGCGTGCTTTAGAAACAGCCGTACTCTGCTCGTTTCCAAATCCTTACACACACCACTTGAACATAAAATAATCATTCATAAAGTTTGAAGCGAATTACAAGAGTGTTCACAGTGGGCTGTGTTTGCATTAATATCGTGTCATAAAAGCATAAAAGTGCAAGTACATTTAACCACTTACATGACTCGGCCGAATGCACAAGCGCTCTTCTTCGTGAGCGTTTGAGTGTGCGGTTAAAAACTAAGCTCAGAATCATTTCCAGAGAGAATTGCGATGCATTCCCAAAATCTCAATGTTTTCGGAATTGTTATTTTGTTTCTTATATTTGCATTTGTGTTTGTAATTTGTTATTTTGTTTTCAGAATTGTGATTTGTTTTGCACTTCTCGGCCACCGTAGGGCTGCAAAACTAATGCAGTGCAAACAAAATCTTACTAGTCTAAAAAATAGACTTTAATTCTCCTTACAGATTGTCACAATGGTTTCGGGTGAAATGTGACCCGGTTCTTACAAGATTGTCTCATGATCAGATGCTGATTTCTGAGTTATTGATGTGTTTTTGTGTTGATGATGATGATGATGATGAAGGTACGCGCCGGAGTCTCTGACTGAGAGCAAGTTCAGCGTGGCATCAGACGTCTGGAGTTTCGGAGTCGTTCTCTATGAACTCTTTACATACAGTGACAAAAGCTGCAGTCCTCCAGCTGTAAGTGACCGACATCATTACTGCTCATCATCATAACGTCATGAAGTTACCAGAAACCAACCATAATTAATGGACAGTCAGAGTAAATCACCAGCAATCACATTACCAGAGTCTGTACTATAGAAGACCCGAAGACTCATAAACATCTGCTGACTGCAGTAATAATAATAATAATACACCATGACAGTCGAGACATGAAGGCAGGAAATAACTAACTGTAACAGTAATTCATAGGGATATAATGATATTATCAATATCACGATGGCAAAACTGTCTCGGTATTATCGTGGTCACATGACGATATGAAACGATAGGTCTTCCGGGCAAAAAGTGTAGTTTTTCAAATATATATTTAAACTTCGTATTCTAACATGAAATGCATTTAAAGTTGTGTTTTGGGGCATTATGCTTTGGCACAGTATCTGTCAAACGAACTCAAACCGAAAGCACAATATGCTTCATCAAGTCTGTTTTTGCTGCTTGTTTCAAAGCGAAGCGCACACTTGGTTCAGACGATCAGCTCGTGATCCGGTGTTTTCTGCGTCTCAGAACGACTCGTTCACACTGAATGAATGCAGTCCACTCGTTTATCACACGTTCTGTGAGTTTAGCGCACGTTTGGGAACACAGCTTTATTTTCACGGCAGATGATTACAGCGTTTCACTAGATTTGTAGTGACACTGTTTTTGTTTTTGTTAGCCTGTTTTCACTGAAGCTGGAGCTTTGCATCAAAATAAAAGCGTAAAAGTGACGTATGAATTGCTGACAGCTAGCGGTTTAAATGCAGTCTAAATTCAAAATATCTCTTTCAAGTGTAGAAATTAGGAAAGAAATATTGTACTTTCCCTGCTGTAGTGTAAAGCAAACATAATATACTGATGAAATATTCATTTTCATTTATTTAACAGTGCAGTTGTTTTACAATATATGACTACTGCTGTTATTATTATTATTATTATATTCTAATTTATTTGGCTTCCTAAAACACCAGTGTGAATGTAACTTAGACTGAGACAGAATAACACAAATAAAAAAAAGAGTTGAGTCCCTTTAAAGTTCAGCTACAAGTCAATTCACTGACTTCAGTTTTCTTAGTTAAGAACATGGGTTGCAGCTCTTGATTTTGAACTCTCAAAGTGCATTAGATAGAATAATTTAACTTTAAAATGTAAAAAAAAATCATTTTTGCTTTCCCTGCTGTAGTGTAAAGCAAACATAATATACCGATGAAATATTCATTTTCATTTATTTAACAGTGCAGTTGTTTTACAATATATGACTACTGCTGTCATTGTTGTTATTATTATTATTATTATATTCTAATTTGTTTGGCTTCCTAAAACACCAGTGTGAATGTAACTTAGACTGAGACAGAATAACACAAATAAAAAAAAGAGTTGAGTCCCTTTAAAGTTCAGCTACAAGTCAATTCAGACTTCAGTTTTCTTAGTTAAGAACATGGGTTGCAGCTCTTGATTTTGAACTCTTCAAAGTATCTTCTTTTGTGTTCAACAGAAGAAAGAACGTGATGCAGGTTTAGAGCAACCAGAGTAAATTATGACTCATTTCATTTTTGTGTGAACCACACCTTTAAAGTGACAGACACATCCGTGCTTCTACAGGTATAGGCCTATTGTTTTATTACAATTTGGATAGTCTGTTAATATAATATTCCATGCATTATCAGAGCTTGGTACAATTATTATATTTTTAGACATGATTAGACAGATAACTTAATATATTATAATTAATGTTAGGCCCTATTTGTTAATTTATTATGATATTAATCATAAATATATACATAATAAATAGTCATATATGTCATAAACAATTTGGCATTTTAAAAAGTAAAAAAAAAATGCTAAATTGTTTAGATAGAAATGGGACAAATAATGACATACTAATGTAATCCTAATTCAAGCAAATTCATTTAAAAAAAAAAAAAATAATAAAAATTAATCCCATCCAGGTAACAGCTGCAGAACTGTCAAAAAAAGACTAATAAGAATTAATAATTTACATTCATGAGCATGTTTTCTCATGGTGTATTGTTGAGCTATGAGTTCCTCATTGATTATTTGTGTCCTTTGAGGGAATGCAGTCTAAATTCAAAATATCTCTTTCAAGTGTAGAAATTAGGAAAGAAATATTGTACTTTCCCTGCTGTAGTGTAAAGCAAACATAATATACTGATGAAATATTCATTTTCATTTATTTAACAGTGCAGTTGTTTTACAATATATGACTACTGCTGTCATTGTTGTTATTATTATTATTATTATATTCTAATTTGTTTGGCTTCCTAAAACACCAGTGTGAATGTAACTTAGACTGAGACAGAATAACACAAATAAAAAAAAGAGTTGAGTCCCTTTAAAGTTCAGCTACAAGTCAATTCAGACTTCAGTTTTCTTAGTTAAGAACATGGGTTGCAGCTCTTGATTTTGAACTCTCAAAGTGCATTAGATAGAATAATTTAACTTTAAGATCTACAACATTTAGATTTTTCTTCCAATTCTTCATTTGTCTTTTTTTTTTAATATCGCAATAAATATGGTACCGTGGACTTCACATCGCGATATCATGGTATGGTAAGATCGCTAGTAATGCGTGGTGTTTGTGTGTCAGGTGTTTATGGAGCAGATGGGGGAGGACAAGCAGGGCCAGATGATCGTTTATCACCTGATCGATCTGCTGAAGCGCAGCTACCGTCTGCCGGCTCCTGACGGCTGTCCTGCCGAGGTGAAGACCGCGAGACCGCGAGCGAATCATGCGGAGAGTGCAGAGAGTGACCCGTCTGTGTGTGTGTGTGTGTGTGTGTGTGTCTCAATATTAATGTGTTCTGCTGCAAGTTTACATACTTGAGCATGTTTTCTCGTGGTTTATCCATTATTCCTTGGGGTCGTGAATGCGTGTCCCTTATTTCGCTGAAGGTGGCAACCCTGCGTATGACGCGGAATGTCACGGAATGTCACGGAATTGGTCAAAGTTTGGATGAATTTATCAAAAGTAGGTCATTACACTTCAATCAAATTGTGATATGGACTAGTATCTGTAAATATTACTATTTATACATGAATCCTGTGTTCTGCGTGTCTCTGTGTGAGTGAATAAATGTTTTGTTTACTACACACACTGAAGCGCACGACGCTCAAAAAAAGTTTGGTTTAATTTGAAGACATTGTGCCAGAAATATATTAATATTGTTCAGTAGAATTTACATACTACTACTAAAATTATTAAAACTTTATTTTTTAAAGAATAATCACACAACATTTCTTCCTTTTTTTTTTATTTTAATAGTAAATCCCCTTTGTTTGCCAAAAACAGAGTTTGTGTAATTTTCAATACTTAAAAGATAACTGAAATTAATGTTTTATGCCTTCATTTGATAACCAGAACAATTTAAATACACAACACAATTTCTAACAGAAAAGAACAACATTTCATAAGATTATTGTAAGAATAAATTAGGCCTAAGTTGTTTTTCTGCATTCAAATAATTAGATAAAACGCAGAATTTGGTAACAATAAAACATATGGTGAGAAAAAATTAAGCCATTCATAGGGTCCTAAACATGTAATTTTTGTTAAACTTTAAATAAACTGATGTGACATTGTATATGTTTCATGATTTTAATTAATTCTACTATTAAAAAGGAGTCCAGAAAAATTAAAACGGAAAAAAAGGAATTCATAAGGCCCTACTTTAAGCGTGACATTCTAAAGACACAAATCACATGGTTAATGTTAAATAGTCGTTTTTAAGTTTTCATTGAACAAAAGTTAATATATGATAAGGATAAAAATAAAATCAGTGATTTGTATTTTCCACTCAATATAAGAATACAATCAGATCAGTTGGTATGTATTTCTGTCATTATTTCATGACCCCTGATGAGCTGAACGTCCCTCAGTCTGAGACGTTTGATGCTGAGTGGAAGCTAAAGCACAGACAGATCGTTAGACTGAAATCTCTTTAAATGGCTGGATTGTGTGTACAGTAATTATAATGTATGCAGTTGATATGAGTCTCATATTCAGTGGGATGTTTGTAGATGTGTGTGTGTGGTGTTCAGATCATCAGAGAGTTTGTCGTGTGTGAGTGTGTGAGAGAGTGTGTGAGAGAGTGTGTGTGTGTGTGAGTGTGTGTGTGAGTGAGTGTGTGTGTGAGTGTGTGTGTGTGAGTGAGTGAGTGTGTGTGTGTGCGTGAGTGTGTGT